TTTTCCCATATTTGTCAGAACGGTCAGGCTTCTCCATCTTGTCAACAACTTTGAGCTGTTCAAGTCTCTCAAGAACGTCTTCTTGGTTCTTGAGAAAGGTAAGGAGCATGTCAAAGTGGTTATCTGACTTGACATTGTTCTTTGGCTCCACCATGAACATCACCCAGTCTCTTTTTATGAACTCCGGCAACTTGCTCTCGATTGATTTGATCACTAGTGGGTTTTTTATGGCTCCAGAATTTCCCAACTCGGTCAGGTCTGTCAGGGCCTTCTCCACAGACTGAATGAGGTCGATGACCTTTCTTGGTTGGTTCCCTTTCACAGGTGGCATCTTCTCCAGTGTGATAGTTGGGTTGTTGCCAAACCGGTTATCCAACACTCCGAACATTTCATTCGCTGTGGTATAGGTTGAAAGTCTCAGATCTTTAAAGATTTTGTCATCGACACTCTCCAGGAGTTGGATTTTCCTCACTTCAGGCGATCCAGATGGCTCTCCTTGCCTTTGCAGGCTCTCCCAGTCTTTCTTCCATCTATGATAGTCTCTTTTGCTGCCGTTGAAGATGGGTAGAGAGGTTGGCTTTATTTTAATAATTGGTGGAGTTACAGGTTGCTGGGGAGAAGCCACTCCTGTGCCTTGTTCAGCATGCCGTGCCTTTGAAAATTCAAACTTCCTGCTTTCCAGCCTACAGTGGGATGTGTTGATGTCCTTGATCCCCCCATTCATTTGATCCTTTAAGTCCTCTGGTGTCCATTTTTCCCATATGGGCATAGTTGAGATGACTTTATTCACCCTCTTTTCCATTAGAGTGAGGAGCACTTCGTAGCCCTTGAAATTGGCACTTGCCACAGGAAAATTGTTCGCTTGGTCAATTGTTTTTTCTGCTTCAAGGATTGCTGTTTCGAGTTCACTTCTCAGTTCATACTTTGACCACAAAATATTTTCAGCAAAGTCTCTCAATTCTTCCTGCTTTGTTTCAGATTCTTTGATTGAATTTTCAAGGTCAGCCTCATTGAGACTTGCTTCTAGTTCTGCATCCTTTAAGTCAGCCTCCAGTCCAATTCTGTAATCACAATTTGCGTCCTGCAACTTTCTGAATCAGTAGTTTAATTTTGTGAACTCCTTCAGTTCATTTTGCAACATATTGTTCCCTCCTCTTAAGATGAAGTTGGCCTGTCTTGTGAAGCTGCTCTTTGCAGTGGTCCTCTCTTTCTTGAGTTCCTTGACCGTCTTCCCCAAGACTTCTTCAGCCATTTTTTTCTTCTTTTTTCCTTTTGAGGTTCCTTTTTTGGTCCACAGCTCTTGATCTCCAAGCTGCTTGCTGTGGTTTACAACTGTCAAGTCCCCAGAGTTTTCAGTTCCAAATGACCCATGACAACTCGATTTTCAACTCAATCAACTTCTTCATTTTCCAACTTTTCATTTGGTTCTTTGTTGTTGATTGGTTGTTCTTTTCATCAGGTTGTAACCCTTCAAGACAGAAACAACAATTAGCATTAACATTAACATGCTAAAAAAATGTTTAAACCACCAATTAGTTATTAACAGTTTAAATAAACCCAAGAATAAGTCACTTTAATAATTCAATAATTAAAATTTTAAATGTTGGCATTAATTTAAACACATTTAAACATTTTTAGTTAATTAATCAATGTTTTAAACAATTAATATATCTAAACTAAGTGTTTTAAAGGCAGCTTATCAAGTTGAACATTCAATTTTTCTCGTAACTTTTGTACATTGAGTTTAAACTTTAAACGATATGTCTAAGCATTTCAAATTGTCACTTAAACAGGCCCAGTAGCCGCTTGCTGGCGGCTAACATACAACAAGCTATGGCGTCTCACCACCTGTCTCCCGTTGTGTGACTAGCTCCTTCATTGTCATCGTCATCGTCATTGTCATCACCTGCGGACCTCCCCATGCCCTAGCTGTCCACTGACAACAATCAAGCGCCATCAACTCCTCCCTCTAGCTCCCCCTATCATTTTTTTCCGCAATTACCCACTTTAGGCTGCAACGAAACTAAAAGCAATGTAACCTTTCATAAAGAACACAGTCTTTGTAAATTGGATGTTGCGGCCACCTCCACCACCGACTGTCTGTTCTTTAACTCCCCTCGGAGCTCTGGTAGAGGTGGAGGTCTTGCTACCGTGTTAAAATCCAGTTTTAAGTGTTGTCAGCCTCCTTCAGATACATTCTCCAGCTTTGAACTGCAGATGTTTGAGTTACACCACCCTCCCCCGTTTTGTTTGTGGTCATTTATCACCCTCCCAAATTCAACAATGAGTTTATTAGTGACTTTGCAGAATTTCTTTGAGGAGTTACTGTAAAATATGACAATCTTTTAATTTGTGGTGATTTCAATATCCATGTTTGTTGTGAATCAAGACCTCTAGTCACTGATTTTTTAAATCTCCTTGTAGCTTTTAACCTCGTTCAGTCTGTCAAGGGCCCGACTCATGAGAAAGGTCATACTCTAGATCTGGTGCTATCCCGTGGCATATCTGTGTGTAACAATGAAATATGTGAGACAGCCTGTATCTCTGACCATCTGCCTGTGCTATTCACTGCATCCATCCCATGCCCACATGTGAACACCCGTACTGCCCCGCACCGTCTGTGCACAATCAGCCGCCAGACTGCATCGCAGTTCTCAGCCTTATATTTTTCTTAAACATCTGGGCTGATGTTTAACATGCTGAATGACAATGTCACCCCCTGCGCTGATGAGCTTTCAACACTTTTTAATTCTACCTGCACGACCATCTTGGACAATGTTGCTCCTTTTAGATTAAAACGCACTAAAGCACTTTCTGAACCGTGGCTAAATGACTCCACGCGCACTCTCAGATGTGCAAGCCGGTGCACCGAGAGAAAGTGGAAGAAAGACAGGCTTCATGTCTCTAAACAAGCTCTCCATGATAGTCTGTGTGCCTAAGTTCTTTTTAATATTTTCACGTCCCTTGTCAATCCATCTGATAACTCCCCTATTGACTCGTTGCTGACTGTCTGTGAAAATTTTTTGAAATATTTTACTGATAAAATTTCTGCTCTCAGGCCACCTACCTCCGCTCCTGCTGGTCATGGTCCAGCCTCTGGTCTGGATCCCACAGCCCCTCTTTTAACCTCTGTCTTTGATCAGTTTGAGCCCATATCCCTCTCCTCACTGTCTGATGTAGTTTCACAACTGCAGCCCACAAACTGTCCCTCTGACAGCATCCCCTCTCGTCTTTTTAAAGAAGTATTCAGCAGTGTGGGTTCTACAATTTTTTTTACTGATCAATACCTCCCTCAGCAAAGGGTCTGTCCCTGCTGCTTTTAAACATGCAGTTGTACAGCCTCTTATTAAAAAGAAAAACCTGGACCCTTCTGATTTGTCTAACTTCAGGCCAATCTCTAAATTGCTTTTTTTATCAAAAATCCTAGAAAAGGTGGTTTTTAATCAGTTACAATCATTTCTTATGTCGAATGACGTCTATGAATACTTTCAGTCCGGTTTCAAACCACGCCATATCACTGAATCCGCACTTCTGAGAGTTTTTAACGATCTGATTTTAACTGTTGACTCAGGTAACCCTGCCCTCCTAGTGCTCCTTGATTTAACAGCTGCGTTCGACACAGTAGATCATCATATCCTTTTAGATCGGCTAGAGCAGTGGGTAGGCATAACAGGCACTGCCCTTCTGTGGTTCCGTTCCTATTTAAATGAACGCAGTTTTTCTGTGCAGCTAGGGGAATTTGCTTCAACTGCAGCCCCACTTACCTCTGGAGTACCCCAAGGTTCAATTTTAGGACTGATTTTATTTTTATTGTACATGTTGCCGCTGGGCTCAATCTTCTGGAAATACAAACTGTCTTTCCACTGCTATGCCGACGACGTACAGATCTACCTGCCCTTAAACCCCTCAAATAATGACTCTGTACAGACGCTGCTAGACTGTTTTTTAGAAGTTAAATCTTGGTTGGCGGAAAACTTCCTACATCTGAATGAAACCAAAACGGAGGCTATATTATTTGGCTGTAACCCATCTGACTTCCCAGCCAATTATCTAGGCCCTCTCATACAGAATGTCCTTGCATTGGTAAAGAACCTTGGCGTGACCTTTGACAGTAATTTTAAACTCGACAAGCAAGTCAACTCTGTGGTAAAAAATAGCTTTTATCAACTGAGAACTCTGTCTAAGCCAGGGTTACCTCTCTCGAAGAGACTTAGAGACAGTTATACATGCTTTTATCAATTCCAGATTAGATTACTGCAACTCCCTGTATGTTGGCTTGGATCAAAACCTGCTCCATCGACTTCAGCTGGTGCAAAATGCAGCTGCCCGCCTCCTTACTGGGAAACGTAAAAGAGAACATATAACCCCTGTGCTCGCTTCTCTCCACTGGCTCCCAGTCTCTTTTAGAATAAATTTTAAGATTTTATTGTTTGTTTTTAAAGCTCTTAATGGACTGGCCCCCGGGTATTTGTCTGAGCTCGTACACATTCATGCCCCCGCTAGAGCACTGAGATCTGCCAGTCAGCGGCTATTAGTCGTCCCGAAGACTCGCCTAAAGAGTAAAGGTGACGGAGCCTTTGGGGCAGCTGCTCCTAGGCTCTGGAACAGCCTGCCTCAGCACATCCGTTCAGCTGAGTCGATAGAGGATAGAGGTCCTCTTTAAAAACACACTTTTTCTCCCTAGCTTTTACCTAGCTCTTGATTGGTATTTTATATTTGTTTTTTATCTACTTACGTATTTTATATTTGTTTTTATTTATGGTGTATTTGTAACTCAATTTTACTTTGCCGTATTTTAATCTTGTATTCTGTGTTTTTTATCATACTGTTTACTGTCTGTTTTATGTATTTTGCTGTGCCTTATTGACCTGTACAGCACCTTGGTCAGCTTCAGTTGTTTTTAAAGTGCTCTATAAATAAAGTTTGAGTTGAGTTGAGTTGAGTACAATATAACTAACAATAACATTAACTATTCACAATGACTATTATTACAACGCTCATTAATAATCATGCTCCCTCAGAGCAGGGATCTGCTCCTCAGGAACTGATATTGCTGCTGCCATCCGATCCCTGAAGGCATCACCAGTCTGTTGGGCCAGGTCATGAGCTGCCAGACAGTTATCATCCCCATCAACCTCTTCACCGTCCTCTGGCTCCAAAATGTCCCTGTGCCCGAGGCAGAGGTTGTGGAGGAAAAGGCAGTCTACAATGACCTCCGAAACGAAGTCAACATCACCTCCAGGGCCTTGAGAAATATGGAACGCTACCTGGTTTTCAGTACTCCAAATGCCCTCTCCACCACACTCCTGGCCCGAGAATGCCTGGCATTGAACCTCTCTTGGGTGGGATTCCTCAAAGGCTCCCTGAATGGGCTGATAAGTGTGAGTGGTTCTGAAATGCAGGGATAATCCCCATCCCCTAATAGGCACCATCCTGGAGAAGGGTACAGCTGGTGCACGTACACAGGGCTGCACCCGAGGACCCGCGAATCGTGCACGGAGCCAGGGAAACCGACGTGCACATCCAGGAAGCGTCCTTTGTGGTCCACAATGGCCTGAAACTGGACAGAGTGGAACAGTTTTCTGTTAAAAAAGTCTGCTCCAAACTGTCCAGGGGGCACAATACGGACATGACATCTGTCGATGCTTCCTGCCACTTTGCAGAAAGCTGGGTGACCAGCCAACTGCTGGAACCCAGCCCCAATTTCCTCCAACTCAGCCCTGTTGGGCAAATGCAAGAATCTCCGGAAAACTTGGTGGATGTCGCTGCTGACCCTGTGGACCATATCGTGGCACGTCGAACGAGGGATGTCGAAGGCCTCTGACACAACTCGATATGATGTGCCACAGGCAAGCCAGTAAACAAAATCAAGCACCTCGAGTGCCTTCCCCCATCCATGGTAATGGTCCCCTTGGAGAAGGTGGATGAGGTGCTCCAGGGAGGGCCTGGTCAGCCTGAAGTCCTTCCACAGGTCAGCCCCCTCAAGGCTGACCTATTACACAATTGAGAGAGGCATTGAACAATATTTCCAATGACTCACAGGAGAAACGTGAAACTAGAAGCGAGGCCTCTGCACTCTGTGGCAAGCTGGACACCCTAGAGATAGCTTTCATGGCACACTTTTGGGATACAATAGTACAGCAGTTCCGAGCCACGAGCCTGCAGTTGCAGAAACATGACATTGACATACACACAGCTACGCAGCTTCTCCTTTCACTTTATGACTTTGTGGCAGCACAGAGAGACAATTTTGCCTTTTTTGAAGGGTCAGCTTTAACTGTTACCGACTCAGTCTCCCAAGACTACAGACATGACCTCCAGCGCACAAAGAAGCGCAAATGTATGGCTGATGAAAGTGCAGAACCAGGTGTTGAATTTAGTGGAAAAGAACAATTTCAGATTGAAACGTTCAGTGTTCTATTTGACAAACTTGTGTTCTGTCTTAACCATCGGTTAACTTGATACACACACTTGACCAATCCTTTTCATGTTCTTTTCATGCCTGATAATATGTCCAACAGTGAGCTCACTTTAAGGGCAGAATCTCTTGCTGCAGCATATCCCACTGATCTGACCATGAGCTTGGCAGATGAACTTGTTCAGTACAAATCATTCATTTCAGAAGAACAAAAATGCTTTCCGAAAAGTTTACATAGCACTCAGACTGTTTTTGACCCTGCCAATAACAAACTGTGAAGGGTAACGGTCATTCTCCAGACTGGCTCGAATAAAAAATGAGCTCAGGATGAGAATGTGCCAAAATGGGTTGAATTCACTCTCCCTTCTTGCAATAGAATCAGAGTTTGTTCGACAGCTCAACTTTGATGAGTTAGTGGACGACTTTGCAAGAAGGAAGGGGTGGGGGGGTGGGGGGTGCTTTGCAAACTCCCGGCCCCGGGGCCCAGACCCCCCATAATCCGGCCCTGACGCAAACACCCACCAAGCGGATGCTTCGGTCTCCAAAAAACGCAGAGACAAATTTGCAAACAGCCGCTATTTCAAACAACTGGGCTCAACTGGGCTCGTGATGTAAACACTTACTTTCTCGCTTGAAAAAATGTTTTGACTGACTGAATTTATACAGTTTGTCCGAAATGCAGTCGTTTTTGAAGCTTGCGGTAGGACTATTTAAATTTTCCCGGCGCTGCTTCTGGCTGGCACGAAATGCATTCTGGGGTATTAAGTATGCATGTGTGTAAACGCTCGGTCAGCTGCGGCATACTCAAATCATCTTTGAGTATGCAGTATGCAGTATGTACTGCTTGAGTAGTTAAGTAGACAGTAGGCAGTATGCCATTTCGGACACAGCCTGAGGTTCGCCTCTACAGATACTGTACCCCTAAAAAAAACTTTGCAACAACATACACAAAATTCAACATCAAGGCATGCTGCTGCAGTGTTCTAGCTGTGAGCTGCACAGAAGCAAGCTAACAGCATACAGTAGAGGTGCTCCTCAACAAATAAGAATAAACATATTCTCATTTATTGAGATACTTGAATACATTGTGCAACAGAAGCCTGCAGATGACTTAGAAATTAGAATATTCTTAGTCCACTGCAGATGAAATGTGGAGAGTCCACGTCTCCATGCTATAAGTGAGTGAGTAAAAGGACCACAGGTACAGTCACAGGTTAACATGGACAGAGACTGCAGTGATTCTGTCTCTGTGCCATGTATTTTTAAAGGATCTCTATGACCATTTTGTCTGTTTCTCACTGTGTTCATGGCCCTTTATTTGCAAAATATCCCAAATCCATCGATCAGTGATGAAAACAATGAGGGGTATAAAGTCTGCTATAACGGATAGCCGCGATCTGCGGTTTGATTTCATTCACGTTGACTGGGATCAGTACGAGTGGTGACAGCGGACGCTTTTCCACATTAAAGGAGGAAATATTTGTAATATATCTCTGTTAACACCAAGCATTTCGTTTCTACTTCTTTAAAGCGTGGTTCATAATTGTGGAGACGTCTACAGACACATTAAATAAAACCAACAAGCAAGGTGTATAGGCTGTCACGAGATAACACAGGTAACATGGAGAGTACACCTGACCTCGCGCTGTATTTAAATGCATCCCACAAACATTTTCACACCACCTGTGGTACTGTGAGTACTACCCACGCACCTAATGATCATAAAAATACCGTGAAATAAGTTCCTCTCACAATGAAAAAGTTTGTTAAATTTCTCACTCGGTGTCGGCTATATTTTGAACAGGCATTTGCACAATCACCAATTTCATTCTTCTTATGTTTCGTGCTTGCATCTTCATCTTTGACCCAATAAACTCATTCTCCCTAACATGTATGTCTCAAAAGGCCCTTTAATTTGATACATCGGTACGAGTGTGTAGTTAGACGGTGAGTGATAGATGGAATGTAAACAAAGGCCCTCAAAAGCCACGCCTCTTGAACATCTGCTTGGAGTGTCACCAGTTAACTTAACACCAGTTAAATCTACACACGGCATGTCAGACTTCACCTCTCCAATACCCGATTCTCAAGTTTAAATATTTCCACAACCTCAAGTTAGAAAACACCACAACCTCAAGTTCAAAAACAACACAACCTCAAGTACAAAAAACCCATAAACTAAAGTTCAAACAAAGCACAAAATCAAGTTCAACAAAAACCACAAACTCAAGTTCAACCAACACCTGATTCTCAAGTTTTAACAATTTTCACAAACTCAAGTTCAAAAATAACACAAACTCAAGTTCAAAAAATGGAAAAGTTTTAAGTTCAACCAACACCCAAATCTCAAGTTTAACAATTGCAACAACCTCAAGTTCAAACACGTCACAAACTCAAGTTCAACAATTGCCACAACCTCAAGTTCAAAAACCGCCACAAACTCAAGTTCAAAAAACACCACAAACTGAAGTCCAAACACGACACAAACTCAAGTTCAACAAACACACAAACTCAAGTTCAACAAATACCCAATTCTCAAGTTTAACAATTTCCACAACCTCAAGTTCAAAAATACCACAAACTCGAGTTCAAAAACACCACAAAATCATGTTTAAACACGTCACAAACTCAAGTTCAACAAATGCCAAAAACTCAAGTTCAACAATTGCCACCAACTAAAGTTCACTAAAAACAACAGACTCAAGTTCAACAAACACCACAAACTCAAGTTCAAAAACACCACAAACTCAAGTTCAAAAACACCACAAAATCAAGTTCAAACACGTCACAAACTCAAGTTCAACAATTGCCACAACCTCAAGTTCAAAAACCGCCACAAACTCAAGTTCAAAAACACCACAACCTCAAGTTCAAAAAACACCACAAACTGAAGTCCAAACACGACACAAACTCAAGTTAAACAAACACACAAACTCAAGTTCAACCAATACCCAATTCTCAAGTTTAACAATTTCAACAACCTCAAGTTCAAAAACACCACAAACTCGAGTTCAAAAAAACCACAAAATCATGTTTAAACACGTCACAAACTCAAGTTCAACAAATGCCACCAACTAAAGTTCACTAAAAACAACAGACTCAAGTTCAACAATTGCCACAACCTCAAATTCAGAAACAACAAACTCAAGTTAAAAAAACACACAAACTCAAGTTCAACAAACACACAAACTCAAGTTCAAAAACACCACAACCTCAAGCTCAAAAACGACACAAACTCAAGTTCAACAAAAACCACAAACTCAAGTTCAACCAACACCTGATTCTCATGTTTTTACAATTTCCACAACCTCAAGTTCAAAAACAACACAAACTCAAGTACAAAAAAAACCATAAACTAAAGTTCAAACAAAGCACAAAATCAAGTTCAACCAATACCCAAACTCAAGTTCAACCAACACCTGATTCTCAAGTTTTAACAATTTTCACAACCTCAAGTTCAAAAACCACCACAAACTCAAGTTCAAACACGCCACAATCTCAAGTTCAAACACGCCACAAACTCAAGTCCAAAAAAACACCACAAACTCAAGTTCAAAAATACCACAACCTCAAGTTCAAACACAACACAAGCTGGAGTTCAACAAACACCACAAACTCAAGTTCAACAAATGGCAAAGTTCAATAACACCCAAATCTCAAGTTTAACAATTGCAACAACCTCAAGTTCAAACACGCCACGAACTCAAGTCAAAAACACCACAACCTCAAGTTCAAAAAACACCACAAACTCAAGTTCAACCACCACCCAATCCTCAAGTTTAAAAATTTCCACAAACTGAAGTTCAAAAAACCACAACCTCAAGTTAAAAAAACCCACAAACTCAAGTTCAAACACCACACAAACTCAAGTTCAACAAAAACCACAAACTGAAGTTCAACGAATGTCAAACTTTTAAGTTCAACCAACACCCAAATCTCAATTTTAGAAATTGCCACAACCTCAAGTTCAAAAATAACACAAACTCAAGTTCAAACACGTCACAAACTCAAGTTCAACAAACGCCATAAACTCATGTTCAACAATTGCAACCAACTAAAGTTCACTAAAAACCACAGACTCAAGTTCAACAATTGCCAAAACCTCAAGTTCAGAAACAACAAACTCAAGTTCAAAAAACACACAAACTCAAGTTAAACAAACAAGCAACCTCAAGTTCAAAAACACCACAACCTCAAGATCAAACACGAAACAAACTCAAGTTCAACCAACACCTGATTCTCAAGTTTAACAATTTCCACAACCTCAAGTTCAAACACGCCACAAACTCAAGTTCAAAAACACCACAACCTCAAGCTCAAAAAACACCACAAACTGAAGTTCAAACACTACACAAACTCAAGTTCAAAAACACCACAAACTCGAGTTCAAAAACACCACAAAATCATGTTTAAACACGTCACAAACTCAAGTTCAACAAATGCCACAAACTCAAGTTCAACAATTGCCACCAACTAAAGTTCACTAAAAACAACAGACTCAAGTTCAACAATTGCCACAACCTCAAGTTCAGAAACAACAAACTCAAGTTAAAAAAACACACAAACTCAAGTTCAACAAACACGCAAACTCAAGTTCAAAAACACCACAACCTCAAGCTCAAAAACTACACAAACTCAAGTTCAACAAAAACCACAAACTCAAGTTCAACCAACACCTTATTCTCAAGTTTTTATAATTTCCACAACCTCAAGTTCAAAAACAACACAACCTCAAGTACAAAAAACCCATAAACTAAAGTTCAAACAAAGCACAAAATCAAGTTCAACAAAAACCACAAACTCAAGTTCAACCAACACCTGATTCTCAAGTTTTAACAATTTTCACAAACTCAAGTTCAAAAATAACACAAACTCAAGTTCAAAAAATGGAAAAGTTTTAAGTTCAACCAACACCCAAATCTCAAGTTTAACAATTGCAACAACCTCAAGTTCAAACACGCCACGAACTCAAGTCAAAAACACCACAACCTCAAGTTAAAAAAAACACCACAACCTCAAGTTAAAAAAAACACCACAAACTCAAGTTCAACCACCACCCAATCCTCAAGTTTAAAAATTTCCACAAACTGAAGTTCAAAAACCAAAACCTCAAGTTAAAAAAAACCACAAACTCAAGTTCAAAAAACACACAAACTCAAGTTAAACAAACAAGCAACATCAAGTCAAAAAACACCACAACCTCAAGATCAAACACGAAACAAACTCAAGTTCAATCAACACCCAAATCTCAAGTTTAACAATTTCCACAACCTCAAGTTCAAACACGCCACAAACTCAAGTTCAAAAACACCACAACCTCAAGCTAAACCAATTCCCAATTCTCAAGTTTAACAATTGCCACAACCTCAAGTTCAAAAACCGCCACAAACTCAAGTTCAAAAAACACCACAAACTGAAGTCCAAACACGACACAAACTCAAGTTCAACAAACACACAAACTCAAGTTCAACCAATACCCAATTCTCAAGTTTAACAATTTCAACAACCTCAAGTTCAAAAACACCACAAACTCGAGTTCAAAAACACCACAAAATCAAGTTCAAACACGTCACAAACTCAAGTTCAACAATTGCCACAACCTCAAGTTCAAAAACCGCCACAAACTCAAGTTCAAAAACACCACAACCTCAAGTTCAAAAAACACCACAAACTGAAGTCCAAACACGACACAAACTCAAGTTAAACAAACACACAAACTCAAGTTCAACCAATACCCAATTCTCAAGTTTAACAATTTCAACAACCTCAAGTTCAAAAACACCACAAACTCGAGTTCAAAAACACCACAAAATCATGTTTAAACACGTCACAAACTCAAGTTCAACAAATGCCACAAACTCAAGTTCAACAATTGCCACCAACTAAAGTTCACTAAAAACAACAGACTCAAGTTCAACAATTGCCACAACCTCAAATTCAGAAACAACAAACTCAAGTTAAAAAAACACACAAACTTAAGTTCAACAAACACGCAAACTCAAGTTCAAAAACACCACAACCTCAAGCTCAAAAACGACACAAACTCAAGTTCAACAAAAACCACAAACTCAAGTTCAACCAACACCTGATTCTCATGTTTTTACAATTTCCACAACCTCAAGTTCAAAAACAAAACAAACTCAAGTACAAAAAAAACCATAAACTAAAGTTCAAACAAAGCACAAAATCAAGTTCAACCAATACCCAAACTCAAGTTCAACCAACACCTGATTCTCAAGTTTTAACAATTTTCACAACCTCAAGTTCAAAAACCACCACAAACTTAAGTTCAAACACGCCACAATCTCAAGTTCAAACACGCCACAAACTCAAGTCCAAAAAAACACAAAAACTCAAGTTCAAAAATACCACAACCTCAAGTTCAAACACAACACAAGCTGGAGTTCAACAAACACCACAAACTCAAGTTCAACAAATGGCAAAGTTCAATCAACACCCAAATCTCAAGTTTAACAATTGCAACAACCTCAAGTTCAAACACGCCACGAACTCAAGTCAAAAACACCACAACCTCAAGTTCAAAAAACACCACAAACTCAAGTTCAACCACCACCCAATCCTCAAGTTTAAAAATTTCCACAAACTGAAGTTCAAAAAACCACAACCTCAAGTTAAAAAAACCCACAAACTCAAGTTCAAACACCACACAAACTCAAGTTCAACAAAAACCACAAACTGAAGTTCAACGAATGTCAAACTTTTAAGTTCAACCAACACCCAAATCTCAATTTTAAAATTGCCACAACCTCAAGTTCAAAAATAACACAAACTCAAGTTCAAACACGTCACAAACTCAAGTTCAACAAACGCCATAAACTCATGTTCAACAATTGCAACCAACTAAAGTTCACTAAAAACCACAGACTCAAGTTCAACAATTGCCAAAACCTCAAGTTCAGAAACAACAAACTCAAGTTCAAAAAACACACAAACTCAAGTTAAACAAACAAGCAACCTCAAGTTCAAAAACACCACAACCTCAAGATCAAACACGAAACAAACTCAAGTTCAACCAACACCTGATTCTCAAGTTTAACAATTTCCACAACCTCAAGTTCAAACACGCCACAAACTCAAGTTCAAAAACACCACAACCTCAAGCTCAAAAAACACCACAAACTGAAGTTCAAACACTACACAAACTCAAGTTCAAACAACACCACAAACTCGAGTTCAAAAACACCACAAAATCATGTTTAAACACGTCACAAACTCAAGTTCAACAAATGCCACAAACTCAAGTTCAACAATTGCCACCAACTAAAGTTCACTAAAAACAACAGACTCAAGTTCAACAATTGCCACAACCTCAAGTTCAGAAACAACAAACTCAAGTTAAAAAAACACACAAACTCAAGTTCAACAAACACGCAAACTCAAGTTCAAAAACACCACAACCTCAAGCTCAAAAACTACACAAACTCAAGTTCAACAAAAACCACAAACTCAAGTTCAACCAACACCTTATTCTCAAGTTTTTACAATTTCCACAACCTCAAGTTCAAAAACAACACAACCTCAAGTACAAAAAACCCATAAACTAAAGTTCAAACAAAGCACAAAATCAAGTTCAACAAAAACCACAAACTCAAGTTCAACCAACACCTGATTCTCAAGTTTTAACAATTTTCACAACCTCAAGTTCAAAAATAACACAAACTCAAGTTCAAAAAATGGAAAAGTTTTAAGTTCAACCAACACCCAAATCTCAAGTTTAACAATTGCAACAACCTCAAGTTCAAACACGCCACGAACTCAAGTCAAAAACACCACAACCTCAAGTTCAAAAAAACACCACAAACTCAAGTTCAACCACCACCCAATCCTCAAGTTTAAAAATTTCCACAAACTGAAGTTCAAAAACCAAAACCTCAAGTTAAAAAAAACCACAAACTCAAGTTCAAAAAACACACAAACTCAAGTTAAACAAACAAGCAACATCAAGTCAAAAAACACCACAACCTCAAGATCAAACACGAAACAAACTCAAGTTCAATCAACACCCAAATCTCAAGTTTAACAATTTCCACAACCTCAAGTTCAAACACGCCACAAACTCAAGTTCAAAAACACCACAACCTCAAGCTCAACCAATTCCCAATTCTCAAGTTTAACAATTTCCACAACCTGAAGTTCAAAAACACCACAAACTCGAGTTTGAAAACACCACAACCTCAAGTTAAAACACGACACAAACTCAAGTTCAAAAAATGTCAAACTTTTAAGTTCAACCAACAACCAAATCTCAAGTTTAACAATTTCCACAATCTCAAGTTAAAAAAAACAAACTCAAGTTCAAAAACACCACAAACTCAAGATCAACAAACACACAAACTCAAGTTCAAAAACACCACAAACTCAAGTTCAACCACGACAAAAACTCAAGTTCAACAGACACACAAACTCATGTTCAACCAACACCTGATTCTCAAGTTTAACAATTTCCACAACCTCAAGTTCAAAAACAACAGAAACCCCAATTGAACCAACACCCGATTCTCAAGTTTAACAATTTCCACAAACTGAAGTTCAACAAACACAAAAACTCGAGTTCAAAAACACCACAACCTCAACTTCAAACACGACACAAACTCAAGTTCAACAAAAACCACAAACTGAAGTTCAACAAATGTCAAACTTTTAAGTTCAACCAACACCCAAATCTCAATTTTAGAAATTACCACAACCTCAAGTTCAAAAACACCACAAACTCGAGTTTGAAAACACCACAAAATCATGTTTAAACGCGTCACAAACTCAAGTTCAACAAATGCCACAAACTCAAGTACAACAATTGCCACCAAATAAAGTTCACTAAAAACAACAGACTCAAGTTCAACAATTGCCACAACCTCAAGTTCAGAAACAACAAACTCAAGATAAAAAAACACAAACTCAAGTTCAAACACAACACAAACTCAAGTTCAACAAACACCACAAACTCAAGTTCAACCAACACCCGATCCTAAAGTTCAAAAATTTCCACAAGGTCAAGTTCAAAAAAGCCAATACCTCAAGTTCAAAAAACACCACAAACTCAAGTTCAAACACGCCAAAAACTCAAGTTCAACAAACACACATAGTCGAAGTTCAAAAACACCACAACCTCAAGTTCAAAAACACCACAACCTCAAGTTCAAACACGACACAAACTCAAGTTCAACAAATGTCAAACTTTTAAGTTCAACCAACAACCAAATCTCAAGTTTAACAATTTCCACAATCTCAAGTTAAAAAAAACAAACTCAAGTTCAAAAACACCACAAACTCAAGATCAACAAACACACAAACTCAAGTTCAAAAACACCACAAACTCAAGTTCAACCAACACCTGATTCTCAAGTTTAACAATTTCCACAACCTCAAGTTCAAAAACAACAGAAACCCAAATTGAACCAACACCCGATTCTCAAGTTTAACAATTTCCACAAACTGAAGTTCAAAAAACCACAACCTCAAGTTAAAAAAAACCACAAACTCAAGTTCAAAAAACATACAATTCAAGTTAAACAAACAAGCAACCTCAAGTTCAAAAACACCACAACCTCAAGATCAAACATCAAACAAACTCAAGTTCAACCAACACCTGATTCTCAAGTTTAACAATTTCCACAACCTCAAGTTCAAACACGCCACAAACTAAAGTTCAAAAACACCACAACCTCAAGCTCAAAAAACACCACAAACTCAAGTTCAAACACTACACAACCTGAAGTTCAAAAACAACACAAACTCAAGTTCAACCAATACCCAATTCTCAAGTTTAACAATTTCCACAACCTCAAGTTCAAAAACACCACAAACTCGAGTTCAAAAACACCACAAAATCATGTTTAAACACGTCACAAACTCAAGTTCAACAAATGCCACAAACTCAAGTTCAACAATTGCCACCAACTAAAGTTCACTAAAAACAACAGACTCAAGTTCAACAATTGCCACAACCTCAAGTTCAGAAACAACAAACTCAAGTTAAAAAAACACACAAACTCAAGTTCAACAAACACGCAAACTCAAGTTCAAAAACACCACAACCTCAAGCTCAAAAACTACACAAACTCAAGTTCAACAAAAACCACAAACTCAAGTTCAACCAACACCTTATTCTCAAGTTTTTACAATTTCCACAACCTCAAGTTCAAAAACAACACAACCTCAAGTACAAAAAACCCATAAACTAAAGTTCAAACAAAGCACAAAATCAAGTTCAACAAAAACCACAAACTCAAGTTCAACCAACACCTGATTCTCAAGTTTTAACAATTTTCACAAACTCAAGTTCAAAAATAACACAAACTCAAGTTCAAAAAATGGAAAAGTTTTAAGTTCAACCAACACCCAAATCTCAAGTTTAACAATTGCAACAACCTCAAGTTCAAACACGCCACGAACTCAAGTCAAAAACACCACAACCTCAAGTTCAAAAAAACACCACAAACTCAAGTTCAACCACCACCCAATCCTCAAGTTTAAAAATTTCCACAAACTGAAGTTCAAAAACCAAAACCTCAAGTTAAAAAAAACCACAAACTCAAGTTCAAAAAACACACAAACTCAAGTTAAACAAACAAGCAACATCAAGTCAAAAAACACCACAACCTCAAGTTCAAACACGCCACAAACTCAAGTTCAAAAACACCACAACCTCAAGCTCAACCAATTCCCAATTCTCAACTTTAACAATTTCCACAACCTGAAGTTCAAAAACACCACAAACTCGAGTTTGAAAACACCACAACCTCAAGTTAAAACACGACACAAACTCAAGTTCAAAAAATGTCAAACTTTTAAGTTCAACCAACAACCAAATCTCAAGTTTAACAATTTCCACAATCTCAAGTTAAAAAAAACAAACTCAAGTTCAAAAACACCACAAACTCAAGATCAACAAACACACAAACTCAAGTTCAAAAACACCACAAACTCAAGTTCAACCACGACAAAAACTCAAGTTCAACAGACACACAAACTCATGTTCAACCAACACCTGATTCTCAAGTTTAACAATTTCCACAACCTCAAGTTCAAAAACAACAGAAACCCCAATTGAACCAACACCCGATTCTCAAGTTTAACAATTTCCACAAACTGAAGTTCAACAAACACAAAAACTCGAGTTCAAAAACACCACAACCTCAACTTCAAACACGACACAAACTCAAGTTCAACAAAAACCACAAACTGAAGTTCAACAAATGTCAAACTTTTAAGTTCAACCAACACCCAAATCTCAATTTTAGAAATTACCACAACCTCAAGTTCAAAAACACCACAAACTCGAGTTTGAAAACACCACAAAATCATGTTTAAACGCGTCACAAACTCAAGTTCAACAAATGCCACAAACTCAAGTACAACAATTGCCACCAAATAAAGTTCACTAAAAACAACAGACTCAAGTTCAACAATTGCCACAACCTCAAGTTCAGAAACAACAAACTCAAGATAAAAAAACACAAACTCAAGTTCAAACACAACACAAACTCAAGTTCAACAAACACGACAAACTCAAGTTCAACCAACACCCGATCCTAAAGTTCAAAAATTTCCACAAGGTCAAGTTCAAAAAAGCCAATACCTCAAGTTCAAAAAACACCACAAACTCAAGTTCAAACACGCCAAAAACTCAAGTTCAACAAACACACATAGTCGAGTTCAAAAACACCACAACCTCAAGTTCAAAAACACCACAACCTCAAGTTCAAACACGACACAAACTCAAGTTCAACAAATGTCAAACTTTTAAGTTCAACCAACAACCAAATCTCAAGTTTAACAATTTCCACAATCTCAAGTTAAAAAAAACAAACTCAAGTTCAAAAACACCACAAACTCAAGATCAACAAACACACAAACTCAAGTTCAAAAACACCACAAACTCAAGTTCAACCAACACCTGATTCTCAAGTTTAACAATTTCCACAACCTCAAGTTCAAAAACAACAGAAACCCAAATTGAACCAACACCCGATTCTCAAGTTTAACAATTTCCACAAACTGAAGTTCAAAAAACCACAACCTCAAGTTAAAAAAAACCACAAACTCAAGTTCAAAAAACATACAATTCAAGTTAAACAAACAAGCAACCTCAAGTTCAAAAACACCACAACCTCAAGATCAAACATGAAACAAACTCAAGTTCAACCAACACCTGATTCTCAAGTTTAACAATTTCCACAACCTCAAGTTCAAACACGCCACAAACTAAAGTTCAAAAACACCACAACCTCAAGCTCAAAAAACACCACAAACTCAAGTTCAAACACTACACAACCTGAAGTTCAAAAACAACACAAACTCAAGTTCAACCAATACCCAATTCTCAAGTTTAACAATTTCCACAACCTCAAGTTCAAAAACACCACAAACTCGAGTTCAAAAACACCACAAAATCATGTTTAAACACGTCACAAACTCAAGTTCAACAAATGCCACAAACTCAAGTTCAACAATTGCCACCAACTAAAGTTCACTAAAAACAACAGACTCAAGTTCAACAATTGCCACAACCTCAAGTTCAGAAACAACAAACTCAAGTTAAAAAAACACACAAACTCAAGTTCAACAAACACGCAAACTCAAGTTCAAAAACACCACAACCTCAAGCTCAAAAACTACACAAACTCAAGTTCAACAAAAACCACAAACTCAAGTTCAACCAACACCCGATTCTCAAGTTTTTACAATTTCCACAACCTCAAGTTCAAAAACAACACAAACTGAAGTACAAAAAAACCCCATAAACTAAAGTTCAAACAAAGCACAAAATCAAGTTCAACAAAAACCACAAACTCAAGTTCAACCAACACCTGATTCTCAAGTTTTAACAATTTTCACAACCTCAAGTTCAAAAAACACCACAAACTCAAGTTCAACAAATGGAAAAGTTTTAAGTTCAACCAACACCCAAATCTCAAGTTTAACAAATGCAACAACCTCAAGTTCAAACACGCCACGAACTCAAGTCAAAAACACCACAACCTCAAGTTCAAAAAAACACCACAAACTCAAGTTCAACCACCACCCAATCCTCAAGTTTAAAAATTGCCACAAACTGAAGTTCAAAAACCACAACCTCAAGTTAAAAAAAAAAACAAACTCAAGTTCAAAAAACACACAAACTCAAGTTAAACAAACAAGCAACCTCAAGTCCAAAAACACCACAACCTCAAGATCAAACACGAAACAAACTCAAGTTCAATCAACACCCAAATCTCAAGTTTAACAATTTCCACAACCTCAAGTTCAAACACGCCACAAACTCAAGTTCAAAAACACCACAACCTCAAGCTCAACAAATTCCCAATTCTCAAGTTTAACAATTTCCACAACCTGAAGTTCAAAAACACCACAAACTCGAGTTGGAAAACACCACAACCTCAAGTTCAAACACGACACAAACTCAAGTTCAACAAATGTCAAACTTTTAAGTTCAACCAACAACCAAATCTCAAGTTTAACAATTTCCACAATCTCAAGTTAAAAAAAACAAACTCAAGTTCAAAAACACCACAAACTCAAGATCAACAAACACACAAACTCAAGTTCAAAAACACCACAAACTCAAGTTCAACCACGACAAAAACTCAAGTTCAACAAACACACAAACTCAAGTTCAACCAACACCTGATTCTCAAGTTTAACAATTTCCACAACCTCAAGTTCAAAAACAACAGAAACCCAAATTGAACCAACACCCGATTCTCAAGTTTAACAATTTCCACAAACTGAAGTTCAAAAACACCACAACCTCAAGATCAAACACGAAACAAACTCAAGTTCAATCAACACCCAAATCTCGAGTTTAACAATTTCCACAACCTCAAGTTCAAACACGCCACAAACTCAAGTACACAAAAAACCACAACCTCAAGCTCAAGAAACACCACAAACTCAAGTTCAAACACTACACAAACTCAAGTTCACCAAAAACCACAAACTCAAGTTCAACCAATACCCAATTCTCAAGTTTAACAATTTCCACAACCTCAAGTTCAAAAACACCACAAACTCGAGTTTGAAAACACCACAAAATCATGTTTAAACGCGTCACAAATTCAAGTTCAACAAATGCCACAAACTCAAGTACAACAATTGCCACCAAATAAAGTTCACTAAAAACAACAGACTCAAGTTCAACAATTGCCACAACCTCAAGTTCAGAATAACAAACTCAAGTTAAAAAAACACAAACTCAAGTTCAAACACAACACAAACTCAAGTTCAACAAATGTCAAACTTTTAAGTTCAACCAACAACCAAATCTCAAGTTTAACAATTTCCACAATCTCAAGTTAAAAAAAACAAACTCAAGTTCAAAAACACCACAAACTCAAGATCAACAAACACACAAACTCAAGTTCAAAAACACCACAAACTCAAGTTCAACCACGACAAAAACTCAAGTTCAACAAACACACAAACTCAAGTTCAACCAACACCTGATTCTCAAGTTTAACAATTTCCACAACCTCAAGTTCAAAAACAACAGAAACCCAAATTGAACCAACACCCGATTCTCAAGTTTAACAATTTCCACAAACTGAAGTTCAAAAACACCACAACCTCAAGATCAAACACGAAACAAACTCAAGTTCAATCAACACCCAAATCTCGAGTTTAACAATTTCCACAACCTCAAGTTCAAACACGCCACAAACTCAAGTTCAAAAACACCACAACCTCAAGCTCAAGAAACACCACAAACTCAAGTTCAAACACTACACAATTCTCAAGTTTAACAATTTCCACAACCTCAAGTTCAAAAACACCACAAACTCGAGTTTGAAAACACCACAAAATCATGTTTAAACGCGTCACAAACTCAAGTTCAACAAATGCCACAAACTCAAGTACAACAATTGCCACCAAAGAAAGTTCACTAAAAACAACAGACTCAAGTTCAACAATTGCCACAACCTCAAGTTCAGAAACAACAAACTCAAGATAAAAAAACACAAACTCAAGTTCAAACACAACACAAACTCAAGTTCAACAAACACGACAAACTCAAGTTAAACCAACACCCGATCCTAAAGTTAAAAAATTTCCACAAGGTCAAGTTCAAAAAAGCCAATACCTCAAGTTCAAAAAACACCACAAACTCAAGTTCAAACACGCCAAAAACTCAAGTTCAACAAACACACATAGTCGAGTTCAAAAACACCACAACCTCAAGTTCAAAAACACCACAACCTCAAGTTCAAACACGACACAAACTCAAGTTCAACAAATGTCAAACTTTTAAGTTCAACCAACAACCAAATCTCAAGTTTAACAATTTCCACAATCTCAAGTTAAAAAACAACAGAAACCCAAATTGAACCAACACCCGATCCTAAAGTTAAAAAATTTCCACAAGGTCAAGTTCAAAAAAGCCAATACCTCAAGTTCAAAAACACCACAAACTCAAGATCAACAAACACACAAACTCAAGTTCAACAAACACACAAACTCAAGTTAAACCAACACCTGATTCTCAAGTTTAACAATTTCCACAACCTCAAGTTCAAAAACAACAGAAACCCAAATTGAACCAACACCCGATTCTCAAGTTTAACAATTTCCACAAACTGAAGTTCAAAAAACCACAACCTCAAGTTAAAAAAAACCACAAACTCAAGTTCAAAAAACATACAATTCAAGTTAAACAAACAAGCAACCTCAAGTTCAAAAACACCACAACCTCAAGATCAAACAAAAAACAAACTCAAGTTCAACCAACACCTGATTCTCAAGTTTAACAATTTCCACAACCTCAAGTTCAAACACGCCACAAACTAAAGTTCAAAAACACCACAACCTCAAGCTCAAAAAACACCACAAACTCAAGTTCAAACACTACACAACCTGAAGTTCAAAAACAACACAAACTCAAGTTCAACCAATACCCAATTCTCAAGTTTAACAATTTCCACAACCTCAAGTTCAAAAACACCACAAACTCGAGTTCAAAAACACCACCAAATCATGTTTAAACACGTCACAAACTCAAGTTCAACAAATGCCACAAACTCAAGTTCAACAATTGCCACCAACTAAAGTTCACTAAAAACAACAGACTCAAGTTCAACAATTGCCACAACCTCAAGTTCAGAAACAACAAACTCAAGTTAAAAAAACACACAAACTCAAGTTCAACAAACACGCAAACTCAAGTTCAAAAAAACCACAACCTCAAGCTCAAAAACTACACAAACTCAAGTTCAACAAAAACCACAAACTCAAGTTCAACCAACACCCGATTCTCAAGTTTTTACAATTTCCACAACCTCAAGTTCAAAAACAACACAAACTGAAGTACAAAAAAACCCCATAAACTAAAGTTCAAACAAAGCACAACATCAAGTTAAACAAAAACCACAAACTCAAGTTCAACCAACACCTGATTCTCAAGTTTTAACAATTTTCACAAACTCAAGTTCAAAAAACACACAAACTCAAGTTCAAAAATACCACAACCTCAAGTTCAAACACAACACAAGCTGGAGTTCAACAAACACCACAAACTCAAGTTCAACAAATGGAAAAGTTTTAAGTTCAACCAACACCCAAATCTCAAGTTTAACAAATGCAACAACCTCAAGTTCAAACACGCCACGAACTCAAGTCAAAAACACCACAACCTCAAGTTAAAAAAAACACCACAAACTCAAGTTCAACCACCACCCAATCCTCAAGTTTAAAAATTGCCACAAACTGAAGTTCAAAAACCACAACCTCAAGTTAAAAAAAAACACAAACTCAAGTTCAAAAAACACACAAACTCAAGTTAAACAAACAAGCAACCTCAAGTCCAAAAACACCACAACCTCAAGATCAAACACAAAACAAACTCAAGTTCAATCATCACCCAAATCTCAAGTTTAACAATTTCCACAACCTCAAGTTCAAACACGCCACAAACTCAAGTTCAAAAACACCACAACCTCAAGCTCAACCAATTCCCAATTCTCAAGTTTAACAATTTCCACAACCTGAAGTTCAAAAACACCACAAACTCGAGTTCAAACACGACACAAACTCAAGTTCAACAAATGTCAAACTTTTAAGTTCAACCAACAACCAAATCTCAAGTTTAACAATTTCCACAATCTCAAGTTAAAAAAAACAAACTCAAGTTCAAAAACACCACAAACTCAAGATCAACAAACACACAAACTCAAGTTCAAAAACACCACAAACTCAAGTTCAACCACGACAAAAACTCAAGTTCAACAAACACACAAACTCAAGTTCAACCAACACCTGATTCTCAAGTTTAACAATTTCCACAACCTCAAGTTCAAAAACAACAGAAACCCAAATTGAACCAACACCCGATTCTCAAGTTTAACAATTTCCACAAACTGAAGTTCAAAAAACCACAACCTCAAGTTAAAAAAACCCACAAACTCAAGTTCAAACACGCCAAAAACTGAAGTTCAACAAACACAAAAACTCGAGTTCAAAAACACCACAACCTCAAGTTCAAACACCACACAAACTCAAGTTCAACAAAAACCACAAACTGAAGTTCAACAAATGTCAAACTTTTAAGTTCAACCAACACCCAAATCTTGATTTTAGAAATTGCCACAACCTCAAGTTCAAAAATAACACAAACTCAAGTTCAAACACGTCACAAACTCAAGTTCAACAAACGCCATAAACTCATGTTCAACAATTGCAACCAACTAAAGTTCACTAAAAACCACAGACTCAAGTTCAACAATTGCCAAAACCTCAAGTTCAGAAACAACAAACTCAAGTTCAAAAAACACACAAACTCAAGTTAAACAAACAAGCAACCTCAAGTTCAAAAACACCACAACCTCAAGATCAAACATGAAACAAACTCAAGTTCAACCAACACCTAATTCTCAAGTTTAACAATTTCCACAACCTCAAGTTCAAACACGCCACAAACTCAAGTTCAAAAACACCACAACCTCAAGCTCAAAAAACACCACAAACTCAAGTTCAAACACTACACAAACTCAAGTTCAAAAACACTACAAACTCGAGTTCAAAAACACCACAAAATCATGTTTAAACACGTCACAAACTCAAGTTCAACAAATGCCACAAACTCAAGTTCAACAATTGCCACCAACTAAAGTTCACTAAAAACAACAGACTCAAGTTCAACAATTGCCACAACCTCAAGTTCAGAAACAACAAACTCAAGTTAAAAAAACACACAAACTCAAGTTCAACAAA